ATGTATAAATTTACTTTCATATGTTTAGGTTTTATTAGAATTCTAATCATCGTGTTTTAAAACGATAAACATTGCCGAGGAGTTCAGATAGTTAAAATAATAGCGGTGTTAAGGGAAAAACCGTCCTTTTGACGCGCCGTTTTTTTTTCAGTGCCCGAAGACGGAACATTGCCGAATAAACCTCCGACGAAATGCGCGTTACCGATAGGCAACGAATGGTCAACTAGTAAGCGGCATTCAAATTAACAATGGAGCTATATTCATTACTTCTTTGATATCCACAAAACTACCATGTAGTATTGATTATTTACACAAACAGTATCATAATTCTGTTTGTTTCCCCTTTAATCAGTCAGCCAGTTGGTACGAGCGTTACGTCCTGTTATTACCCCCAGATAAATAATGGACCATTCCGTCTGACCGTGAAGAAAGAAAAAATAAACAAATGGAAGTTAGAAGAAGCGATAACTCTCACATGCGCTATTGGATCGTTTCTTGGCCTATGGTTGAGATTCGATCAAGGCTTCGACTAGCTCGGACTGGCTCCGGCCTGGACTTGCTAGGTCATGACCAGCTTTGACTAAGCTATGACCAGCTTGGACAAGCTATGGCCAGTTTTGGACCAGTGGCCCTTGAGTGGAAACGCTCGGGTCTCCCACGTTAAACGACCTTGTGTCACATCCTGACCCTGTGGGAGTCAAGTAAATATTAACTCTCACATGCGCTTAACTTACGCTTCAATGAAATAAAAAACCCTGTCATTTTATTTGTACCCTTTTACTTCTTTATATAATTACCTGCATTCGTACTTATGTTCGTTATTGCAATATTTTGTTGTCTCAAATATGCAACAGGGATATTTTCACGTCATAAGTTATTCAATCATTATTGGCGTCAGGAGCTTATTTAATCATAACTTATGTATTAAGTTTCATTAGAAAAGTCATATCGGGAAATCGTAAAATTTTCATCGGTACTGTTAAATATAATAATCTTTAAATATCATAAAAGAAACGTTATCATTATTATCAATCGTTCAATTGTATTTCTTTCATCTTATGTGTGTTTGTATTTATATCATAATTATCATTATTGAACGACTGTTAAGTATGAATTGAAAATGAGAGGAATATCTTTAAGGATAAGAGAGAGAGACAGAGTTCCAATTTACTGAGGCGTTTATTCTTTAATTAATTCTCTGCGTTACTTCATCTATCTATCTATCTATCTATCTATCTATCTATCTATCTATCTATCTATCTCGCCCTATCCCTTCTCTCTTTATCTATTTATCTCTTTCCCTTTCTATCACCTCATTTTTATCTAGTTATATCTCTCCCTCTCTATGTCCCTCTATCCCGTATACTCTCTCTTTTTCTCTCTTTCTTCCTCTTTCTTCCTCCTTCTTCCGAAGATACTTTAGTTCAGTGGTTCCCAAACGATGCGGCGCGCCTCGCACATGCTGCAGAAGAGGATAGCAGGTGAGGCGGGAAGACAATCAAATACATAGAAAGAGTTTCAAAAAGTCCACATGCAAAAAATGAATATGATTTCAAAATTTTAAATATTATTACTCGTTCCATGCGTGAGTCCTAGTATAAATAGTTATAAATAATTATTGACTGATTTTATCATTGTGATATTTTTGCATTATATCAAGTATTAAGAATACAGTAACTAGGGTCTGCAAATTGGACGAGAGAGTTATCAATGAATCGGCGGTTATCTCCCTTTAACACTCTCTCTGTTTTCTTATTTATAAATGTATTTTTCGTCATATAAATTTTGACCAGGCGCGAGTAAATCTTTATTCCGAAAATGCGGCCCAGAGGTAAAAGAAAAAAAAAGCTTTGGAACTATAGCCTAGCTCAATTCCACGAACGATTAAACTGTCGGTAAACATATGGACTGGGCAAATATTTGGTATACACATATCTTATTGAATCGTGGATTGCAATGGGAAATAGAAAGAAGAGATGCACTAGGATCTTTTTCAATATATGAGAACCTGCAATTCCTTTAAAAAGAACTTTAAATGGTATGTTAAATTATTTACGTATATAATTAAGCAGCGTAATTATTTATGAAATATTTTTTTAAATTAAAAATTATTTAAAATTATCCACTTGGCGTAAATTTATCCATACGTAAGCATTTATCTTATACAATCTTTCATTATTATTAATTTGCTTTCTTTTTCTATGAAAGGCTTCCAAAAGAAAATCTTCTTACACCACATGAACTTACATTTGTACTCAATTGCTTTCATTTTCTATCAAAGGCTTCCAAGGCGGAAATCTATTATCCCATATGATCTTCTATTTGTATTCAATTATCAAGAAGAAAATTTCTTACCCCACATGATCTTACGTTTGTACTCAGTTGCCTTCATTTTCTATAAAAGGCTTCTAGGAAGAAAAACTCTTTCCCTCCCATGATCTTGTATTTGTATTTAAATGTCTCCATCTCCTAACAATATTCATTTTACCGTGGTGAAAAC